ATCGGGAAGTAATTATATGGTAGAATTTAAAATTTTAAACTACCTATGTTTTTGGTCTCAATTTTTTCGAAATAAAACGTCCATGTCCGTGTGTGTTATTGTGTATTCTACTGCGTACTCCTACTGCAGCATGTCTAATAATTGCCTATACGGAGTACCAGACTGACCGTCTTTACTCAGAATAGTTTTTCGTTTACAATACATGATAATATATCATTGAATTCAAATGTAATATCATCCATTATACAGTGACCCATTTGTAACCTACTGGCTACTGTACAGCAGAGCGATATTCACTAGTCCGCACTCCGCAACTTTTTTATCATTAACATCATTATTATTAAATAGAAAACTATTGGACGTTTCACTTTCCTAAAAACAAATATTTAACATTTTAACCATTGAAGTAAAATAAAAATCTCCTTCACACCGCTCGGAATCTAAATTAACAATAGGTAGTGACTAGTAAGTTAACGTTTATACATTAAATTGTAGGTACCTACATAATAATATCTAATAGCGCACGTATTATAATATAATTATGCAATACATGATATTCACTGTATACTTAAGGCTCGGCTTGGAGAACTTATGGGAAAATCTACCTCTTCTGCAGTTGCCAAGAATTTGTTTAATTAAACGTATCTACCGAAATATATTATCAAAGTACAGGCGAAAATCATGTCAAGCACCCATGCAATACACAAAGTTCTATAACTAGCACCACGAATCGTATAATAGTACGCGTCTACTATAATATTATGTACTGTCTTAATAATAACAATTAAATAATATTATATGTTATCTTTTTTTTTATTAGGTGTAATCACAGACTTCTATACTACACGTGTACCTAGTAAGTCTGTGGGTATAATATTTGAATTATTCAATTATTCTAATTATTATGTAGGAGGGCCTGACCGACAACCGTGATTATCGATAATGCGGTTTTCAGTATACCACGATCGTGGTTATCAGTTATAATATTTTCACATACTCCCCTTGTGACCAATTAGGCAATAACCGATGGTATATTGTCAAAGTGATTAAAATAAAAGTTTAAAATAAATAGGTACAGGCAATACAGTAAGTTTTGAGTTGATTATAACTGTGCCACTATGGTTTCCAATGGTGTGGCTCCCAAAAAAAATTTGTTTGTAAAACGAAAAATTGTAATGTTATTAATAATAATGCTTAGGTATAATTAATGTTGGTCTTAATAATGATTTAAGTTAAGTCACCATTTATTTAATTTATTGAAATCCACTGCGATAAAATATTCAAACTGATACCTATATACCTTAGAAACATTGAGTTAAATTATTATAGCCTATAGGTAATAGGTATATGTATATTGTATATTAAACAGGAAAGCAGGATAACTATTTTATCAGCACAAAGCCACACACACTAAATTTTTGGAAAATTTTCATTTTGAAAAATGTTTGACTGAAGTGAGTGAATTGGGGAGAGATTTCGGTCCAGGAAAAAAATTACTAGCCCATTTATACTAATTCACAAAGTATTGAATTGTTGTTATTCTTTTAACATAACTACATTTTTTTTTACACATTTATGAAAATATTATGCACAGCTATTAAAACCTTACGTACCTAGTTATTATAGCCGTATAGGAGGTACCTACTTGAATATCAATAGGTATTAACATTTTTTTGTTTTTATAGCTTCTGTTTACAATTTTACAATAGTCTCAGTATCTACTATTAGAACTAATGTAGGTTAGTACTTATATAACACAATGTAAGTGAATAATTTAAATTATTATTGTTACGATTTTTCCACGGTATCTATATATTATAGTTTTATAGTGCTTACCTGACCACTATGGAACAATTAAATATTACGCATAGAGTGTTAATAAAAATTGCATTAAAAGGCTATAACAGAATGAATACCCCACGACTTTTTGACATTCTAGGAATATTTAATATAAAACAACTATTTGCAGAGTACTCTAGTACTCTGTTACCTAGGTATCATTTACGATATTAACTTAAGGTGGAATCTGCATTCACAAAATCTACTAGGAAAGCTACGCGCAATTACCTATAAATTTTATAAATTAAGGGGCTTAGTACCTGCACCTACAATTCGTGTCGTTTACTTTGCTTTATACCAGTCAATCTTGCAATATGGGCTACTAGTATGGGGTGGTTTAGGTGACTGCACTACTAACATATTGCAGGTTAACCAAAACAACATAATAAGAATTTGTCTGAATAAGTCCTCTTTAGAAGGCTCCTCGAAGGAAAATTACAGGGTCATGGGCGTTCTTCCACTTAAGCTACTTTATGAAAAAATGGCAATTATGTTCATTTTTAAGAGTGTCATCAAAGGTCAAAATAAAAAAATCTATGATGGTAAAAGGGAATGCAGACTTTATGATATTCCAGTAAAATACACGAGGAAATCATTCGGGCAATCCTTTGTAAATTACTTAGGGCCGGTTCATTTTAATACTATGTCATATTCATATAAAAAAAACGTCTTCTGTACCAAAACTAATCCTAAAAAAATTTTATACCACTGGTTGTTCTCCCAACTAATATAATTTATTTATTCTTTCCTCTGATCACCTATCTATTTTTATGTTTCTAGTGTAATTGTAATTGTATTCATCTTAATATTCTCTCAAATATCTTATTACGTTAATGTTTAAACCTTTTTGATATTGTATTTAGTTACATAACATTATTATTTTGTATTACTCTCTATCTCAACACAAGCTACTGCTTAAAGAGATAGATAAATCTAGTAACTAACATTTTATTGTATGTATTATGTAATTTATGAAGATTATTATAATAAAAAAAAAAAAAACTCTTCATTAATCCAACTACATTCTGATCGGAGTATTCGGGTTAATGAGTGCATAAGTATTATTCTTAAAGGGAGAATTGTTTTAGGGTTCCTAACTGTTAAAATGTAATTCTAGGGCTTATCAAAACTATTATCAATAAAAAAATGTTTAGTAAATTAAAAAAAGTATAAAAAAATATAGGCTTCAAAGAAATAATCAATAAATTATACTTTCTGTTCACGTTCATTATAATTTAAGGTGCCTGCTCGTGTGTCATTAATAAGGCGCATTATTTAGGCAATATGCAATTTCGTTGCCGCCACCCATGTCATTTGTGTTAGTCGTCAATAATGATTATAATGCGAGTGTGATTGTATGCGGGTACCGGCACCGTCGACCAAAAATAAAAAGTGTGATTTTTTGCTCAAAACAAGCGTTACGGGAATAACTCTCGCGCATCGTAGAGAGGTCTGATTTGATTAATTGTTTTTTCGTTGGAAAGGGGATAAATTTCTACAGGGCGCATTGGACTTTGATATTTAATTTCGTTGCTTAAAACAAATATACTAAAAGTAACTAAATCTTGTGAAAATTGGTCATATTCAAAATCGTATTATATAGTTAAAAATCCAAGTCCAATGCGCCCTGTAAGAAGTGTTTTATCTTTCAAAAAAAAAAAATGATCAAAATCAGATCACTCTACGAGGGGTGAGCGTTTTTCCTGTAAGACATGTTTTTGAGCAAAAAAAACAGGATACGTGCAGGCCCCTTAAGTACTATTCTGTTTTTATTTATTTCTGTGAAATATGTACTATTTCATACATTTTAAAAATGTATTAATAATGTATTACTTGTAAAACTAATATCTGAATTCTCCCCCTCTCATCACAAGCTTGCTTAAGGATAGGGATAATCAGCTCAGTTCATATTATCATTTAAATTAATTTGTATACAATATGTGCCCTACCTAAATTGAGTTGAATAAATAAACTGTTGAGACATCGAGCGAAGAGCTCAAAGCTGTTTATCGTTTACACTGATTTATCATTGAATTAAAATTTAACACATTAATTAAATGGGTGCCTATACTGAATGTACGTGGGGTGGGTACTCACTTAAACTACTATCTATAGGCACAGCAGAGAGATTTCCTCGGCTTGTTTTTTTTGTTACAGATTAATAGATAATCAAAATTAAAAAATGTAAGATCTAATGAAGAAGTCACTTTTTAATTATTTTTCACGAAAAGAAATTTTTAGAACGGAACGACAGGTTAGGTGAATGATTGCCCACTAACGTTATATTTTATAAAGTAATAACTAATAAGTTAGCACCCGACTAGTTTTTGAATTGTGAATACGGCAACAGTAACGCAGTATACAATACTTTATGCAATATAGCAGTCTATATAATTGAATTGGTAACTAAGACATTAAGTAACTTTTTAAACCAAAAACTGGCATCGACAATTATTCGTACACAAATTCATAATTTTACTGTTGAATCCATAAACCATAAACGATTGAATTATTTACAATTTACATAATAATATATAATATATATAGGTACCTACTTGTTGGCTATTATCTCATATCTGCACGGATAATGTTTAGCAACATTAAATTTCTAGTCTTTCTACCACGGGCTAAGATAATATAATGAATGAATTAATATTAATGTATAATATATAAAAAATAAATATTTTTAAAATCGACGATAATTCTAGGTACCTTTCTTAGTAGCGCTTTCTAGAATTCATATTCTACGCCTCCGCGGTCCGCGGTATCACCATATAATTGATAGAATATAATGACGTTCAGAGGTTCAGACGTTATGACCGTAATCACGGTGTGACCGTGGTTATGGGTCGAATACAGTAAACTCGTCCGCCGCCGCCGATGTAGTACTATCAATCGCCCACCCCCCTTCGTCCCTCTGCTCCGGCTGGCGGGCGGCGACCTTATTGTCGTGCGAAACTGCGAAATGTTACGTTGAACTTTCGTCGGTGGCCGTCATACGGACCATAATATAATATTGCGATGGCCTTGGTCGGCCGCGGCCCCCGTCGTCCCGGAACCGTACGGTGCGTTTGCCGCTCTTCAGTTTCCGACGACGCACATGTGGCCATAAAAGGTCGGACACAATAAGTTCCACACCCCAATAACATCGTCCGTCCACAATGGCCAAAAGGTAAACGGTTGTGTTTGTACGCCGAAGGTATTTTCGGGTCATCGGTTTTCTAAATGTCACGATTACAGCCAATATTCATTGCCCCGCTCGGTTACATTTTTTTTGTGTCGTAATAGAATAATAATATCTGTCATTAACCGTTCAAATATGCGTCGAGGTTTTCGATTGCCCGAGCTCCTAATTAATATTGTTGACTGATATTAACATCCGTGTCCGCATTGCAGGATGGATCAAGTGGTCTGGGTGCCGGAGCCCAAAGAGGGCTTCATACTGGCCACAATTGTAGATCTAGGAATGGACGAGGTCACCGTACAACCTGTGGGAACATCAAAAGCTCAATTTACACTGCCTCTGGATCGCATGTATACAGCCAATCCTCATTTTGACGATAAGGATGTCGATGACAATTGTAAGCATAATATAATATTGTACTACAAATCTAAGAAGAGTATGGTGACTTTAAGTCTTATTTTCAATTTACAGGTTCTTTGATGCATTTAAACGAAGCCACATTATTAAACAATGTTAAAAAAAGATACTCAAAGGATAAGATTTATGTAAGTACCTAATTTATGATTAATTTTTCATTGTTATACCTATTCAATGTTATATTTCCGTTTTAAAGTTAATCAAAGTTAAACTAAAAACATATACCTTCTATTATACCTTGCATAGTACCTATGTTAGATTAAGACAGTGAAGCTGCAATAATTATTTATAGATATTTCCTAAATCATTTTTTAACAGTTTACAATAAATTGTTCATTTTCTGAAAAATAATTTATAATAATTACCTTTATTCAAACAATTTTTTAGACCTATGTTGCTAACATATTGATATCGGTCAATCCATACATAGAAATCAAAAATCTTTATTCAACTGATGTTATGCAGAAGTATAAAGGAAAATCTCTTGGCGTTTTACCTCCACATATATTTGCGATTGGTACCTATTTCATTATTAATTCTTTTATGAAAAAACTTAAAATATAAAAACTCATTATCTGATTTGTATCTAGCTGATAAATCATTCCGGGATATGAAAGTACTTAAGCAATCACAGTCTGTTATTGTGTCTGGTGAATCGGGAGCTGGGAAAACAGAATCTACAAAACATTTATTACGATACCTATGCTACCAGTGGGGATCTTCTAATGGACCAGCAGCTGATCAAAACATTTTAGATGGTAACAACTTTAAATGTTAGACATTAATAAAAAACTATTCTTAGTATGATGTATATTTTTTTTTAGCAAATCCTGTCTTAGAAGCTTTTGGGAATGCTAAGACAACACGTAACAATAATTCATCAAGATTTGGAAAATTTATGGAAGTTCATTTTGATAGTTCATGTTCTGTTGTTGGAGGATATATCAGTCATTATCTTCTAGAAAAATCTAGAGTTTGTATTCAAAGCTCAGAAGAACGTAACTACCACGTATTTTATTTGCTGTGTGCTGGAGCTCCACCTGATTTACGTGGTAAATTATCACTTGACAATCCTGATGCTTTTAATGTAAGTCAGCTTAAGAGAAATATATATATTGTTTATAGCAAATCAATAAAACATATTTTTTTAGTATTTGAGAAAAGGCTGTACTCAATATTTTACTAACAACCAAACTAGTAAAAAATTGGAAAATGATCAAAAGAGTAAACTTCAAAATAAACAAGGGGGTCTTAGAGATCCAATGTTAGATGATGTCAAAGGATTTTCTACAATGGATGAAGTTAGTTATTTCTTTTATCCATAATTTAAAATTGTTTGATTATTTTTTTTATTAATTGTAGGCTTTGAGTAGACTTGGGCTATCAAACAAAGAAAGATGTGACATCTATACAATTGTAGCAGCTGTTTTACATTTAGGAAATATAGAATTTGAAGAAAACATTGAAAGCACTAAAGGTGGTTGTAAAGTGACAGAGCAAACTGAAAGTAGTTTGTCTGTAGTTGCCAAATTGCTATCTGTCGACTTTGACGAGCTCCGACAAGCACTTATTACTAAAGTAATGATGACAAATCGAGGTGGACTCAAGGGGACCGTAATTATGTATGGAATAATATTAATACAATAATACCTAATTGTTTAAATGCTGTTTACTAACTATATAAATTTAAAATTATAGGGTACCATTAAAGCAATATGAAGCAAATAATGCTAGAGATGCTCTTTCTAAAGCCATATACGGAAAACTATTTGATAATATTGTCCATAGGATAAATTCAAGTATACCATCTAAGGCATCTAATTATTATATAGGTGTACTAGATATTGCTGGATTTGGTAAGAAATTAATTTTACTATAATATAATATTAAAATTACAAGACTATTTTAATCGCCATTATTTTCTTTTAGAATATTTCACTGTTAATAGTTTTGAACAGTTTTGCATAAACTACTGTAATGAAAAACTTCAACAATTTTTCAATGAACGCATACTCAAAGAAGAACAAATGCTTTATGAACGTGAAGGCCTAGCTGTAAAAAAAATTGAATTTGTTGACAATCAAGATTGTATAGGTAAAAAATATAAACTAGTAAAAATAATATATTATAGTTTATAGTAGAACAATATGGTGTCATACCAGCTAATAATACTGAAATAACTAAAAACAATTAATAATAATACTACCAACCCTGATCGGTATACAGTTACTTATATTGTACTAATAGTATCAACATAGATGATAAGTACCTGTTATATCTTGCTAACTGACTTAATAACCTGAAAGATCATAATATGTATTAAGGGTGTATCATGTTTGAACTTTTGAAGGAGCAATATTTAGGCGATTCACATGACATGAACATTTGGGCTCTGTCTATGTGTAATATTAGTAAATGAAAATTTGTGTCTTTCCGAGAATTGCTAAAATGCTGTGTCGGGCAACTGCTGCCAGATGCAACTCTCGCACGCACATGTCAATACTTCGCAAAAAAAGACATATATTCTTGTTTACATAACTATAAAAACTACTAAAAGTGGTAGTACATTAAACATACTTCCTGAAGTTTGAATGTAATTTTGAAAATATTTTGAATTTATAACTCTAAATAGCTTCTAGATTATGCTCTTTAGGAATCACTTTTTGATTTCAGATTTGCCTAAAATAAATAGAAATGTAATGCTATTTTTTCATAGGATTTTTGAAAAAAAATCTTTATTTTAATCGACTTCCTAAAAAGCCTAAATATTTTTTCAAAGAGTTCATACATGTATAAAAAATTTAAATCTGACATTCTGAAGTATGCGTAATTTACCACCGCTTATTGGTCTAAAACATTTGAAAAATACGTGTGCTACGATCTCCATATTATTGACTACAAAGAAATGAATATTAAAATTCCTTACGTTTTATTTATTCATAATATGTACATATTCAGATTTAATTGAATCAAAAAATGGTGGTATATTCAATTTATTGGATGAAGAATCAAAACTACCAAAACAAAGTTCTGAACATTTTACTACTGAAGTGCACAAACGTTGGCAGGGGCATTTCAGACTAGCTTTAGCTAGAGCTTCAAGACTCAAAGCTCATCGAGAAATACGAGATGATGAAGGCTTTATGGTTAGACATTTTGCCGGAGCAGTGTGTTACCGAACTGTAAGTATTAATGTATATTTCTTTTAATATTGGGTTTATTATTATTATTTCAGTTTAAAATTAAATTTAAGTATTATATTTTAAATTTGTATTGCAATTCATTTTTTAATTGTCTCACCAATGTAAATTGTAAAATACTTACAGGTTTATTAAATTTTTTGCTTTTTTACAGAGCCAATTCATTGATAAAAATAATGATGCGCTCCATGCAAACTTAGAAGGTCTAGTTCAAGAAAGTAACAATCCATTCTTACAAAGTCTATTTGCTACCAGTACGCAATGTGCAAACAAAGGAAAGTTGAACTTCATAAGTGTTGGATCAAAATTTAAAAGTCAATTGGCTGAGCTCATGGAAAAATTAAAGAGTACTGTAAGTTAAGTAATTTTTGAATAAATCAATGTGTCATCAGACTTGTTTTAATTATTTTATAGGGTACAAACTTTGTTAGATGTATTAAACCAAATGACAAAATGGTGGACCACCTGATAGATGGTGGATCAATTCTATCCCAGTTACAGTGTTCTGGCATGACAAGTGTATTAGAACTTATGCAACAAGGTTTTCCATCACGTGCTCCATTTCAACAACTATACGATATGTACAAACAGAGACTGCCTCCAAAGCTTGCTCGCTTGGAACCAAGAATATTTTCTAAAGTAATTAATGAGTATGAAATATACATCTTTGTAACACATTTTAATATCAATTATAGATAGATATTCGATATTACTATATTTGTTAATTGATAATTTATTATTATGATATTTTATATTTATTTTAGGCTTTGTTCAGAGCAGTTGGAGTTAATGAAGGTGATTACAAGTTTGGTGTATCAAAAGTATTTTTTCGACCAGGAAAATTTGCTGAATTTGATGCAATTATGCATTCAGATCCAGAAAACTTGAAACAAATGATCGAAAAGGTGCAGAAATATCTGACTACTTTACATTGGAAACAATCTCAATGGTGTGCTTTATCTGTTATTAAATGTAAGACATTGTATCAGTTTAAATGTTCATTTACCCACTAAATTAAAATATTTTGTGAAATATAAACCAATATTATTCCCATACTTATACACATTGTTGTTGTTGTAGTGAAAAACAAAATATTGTATCGACAAGCAAATCTTATAGTAATTCAAAAAAATGTGAGAATGCATTTATCAAAAATGAAACACAGGCCTAGATATATGGGAATAAAAAAAATAAACAGTCTGAAAGTGAGTTAATTAATTATTTAATTTATTAAGTTCATTAGCAGTTTTATGGAATGTGGCACAATTAAGCTTAAGAACCTTAAGCTACTTGTTGCTTAAATTTTCAAAGAATTGTTAAATGTTTGAAAATGTATTAAAATAACATATGTTTATGCAACTGTGCAATATTTTGTATTATAATTTTAAAAATATAACAAACAAATATTAATTTTCATTGTGTTTTTTTTGTTTAGACCATATTAAATGAAATGGAAACACTGGCAGGACAAATTAAAAAAGATAATGCTCTTTGTGTATCAGATGCTCAAAAGTTGCGAATCGAATTCGATTTAGCAATTAAAAAAATAAGAGTAATGATTTAAAAATTATATTTTTAGTATTATATTAAATATATGATTAATAATTTTAGAATAATGAAAATATCAAAGCAGCTGAAATAAACAATATTTATAATAATTTGGTTAAAGCAGCCAATTCACAAATGGAGAGTTTAAGAAAGAAAGCTAATGCCGAAAAAAGTGCTGAAGCTGAAAAACAACGTTTAGCTAAATTACAAATTGAAATGGAAATAGTTAAGGCCACTAAAGATAAAGAAGAACATGCTAAATTAGAAGACGAACAAATTAAAAAACAGTGAGTGAAACAATTGGTATTGTTGGATGTTTAATTTGATAATTTTAAAATAGTAAAATAAAATAAAATCATTCTAAAATTAAAACTGATTTTTGTTTATAGAAAAATAGAAATAGAACTGCGTCGTAAAGCAGAAGAAGAAATACATAAGAATGATATTTTCTTAACGAAAGTAGGTTTTATTAAAATTTATATTACAAGTTATGTAGGTAATACAGTTCAATTTTAAATTTAGGAAGAGATTGATAAGGCTGCATTAGCTGAAGCTAAGTTTAGAGAGCAAATGGAACAAGAGCGACGCGATCACGAACTTGCTCTACGGTTGGCGCAAGAAACAAATAGTTTTGTTGAAGATATCTCTAATACCTATTCAAAGTAAGTATAATGATGTTATAAATATAAAGAATGCTAAAGTTAAAAATATGAATATTTTAAACAGGAGATCTACAAATATAGAACAACCACCAGGTAAATATGATTTGTCGAAGTGGAAGTATTCAGAACTTAGAGACACTATAAATACTTCCTGTGATATTGAGCTACTAGAGGTAAATCTAAAATATATACTTAATTTATTGTATTAGTAAGTTAAGATAATAGAATTTTTTCAATAGGCTTGTAGAGTAGAATTTCATCGACGCCTCAAGGTATACCACGCTTGGAAAGCAAAGAACAAAAAACGTACTTATATGGATGACAATGAAAGAGTGCCTCGTTCCATAATGGATACTGGTAAATCAAACAAATGATGTTTAAGTTATTGTTATTGATTGTTAATATAAGTATATTACATTACAATCTCTTTTTACTTTATAGCTAATCAGTCAAAGGGAGTCAAACATTATCAGAACACAAAGGCACAGCCAATAATTCCTACGAGTAGCCAACGATATTTTCGCATTCCATTTGTACGCTCAAGTACACCTACCAGATCACCTGGATCCGGCGGAGATCAGCATCGTGGATGGTGGTATGCACACTTTGATGGGCAATACGTTGCTAGACAAATGGAATTACATCCTGATAAACCAGCAATTTTACTTAATGCCGGTAAGACTTACATGGCACCGATAATATTTAGTTAACGGACATCTCTTATATAAAAACTTGTTTGTTAAATTTTCATTCCAGGGAAAGATGATATGCAGATGTGTGAACTAAGTTTGGATGAAACAGGATTAACTCGTAAGAGGGGTGCTGAAATATTAGAAAATGATTTCAATAAAGAATGGGAAAAACATGGTGGAAAAACTTATACTAGGAATAATGTCAGTAATTAAAGTATCGGCAGTTAACTTGCAAAACTGCTGTCAAGATTATTGTTTCAAATAAAATATGTTTTAATTATACGTATAAATGAATCCAAAATGTCACATTCCTTACACTTTTTATTATTTTTTTTTTTTTTTTATAATTTTATGTTTTGTTCCTATAATTGGGTGATTGGTTTTTTATCAGGTTGTGATAGATGTGATAAATAACAGTATCGAAGTATTGTTTTAAACATTTTTTTTTTTTTTTTTAGTCATTGTCTTGTCGGTTTAACTGTTCTACTAATGTCAAATCTTAAGTTAGAAAAATTATTTTTTATTAATTTTTAATATTTACCATTTAGTTCTGTTATTTGTTAACAAATTTTCTAATCATTTAAAAAAAATATTCAATGTTAAAAGTTTTAACAGTTTACCTTATTAAACACTAAAATATACATACTCTATTGTAAAACACGTTACAAATAAATATAAATCTGTGATAACAAGTTGGGATTCAAAACAAATATTTAAAACTGTTATTTTGATATATTATTATTTACATAATCATAATTTATAAAATATTTTATTTATAAACTAATAATGAAAAAATCTGAAAAATATATACAAAATTACAATGTATTCTGATTTTTATAATAATTATTTTCATTAATACTTGTTTTAAGACCAATTTAATATTATTGGAGGTATTTGTATAAATTAAATAAAATTAAAATTATAAAAATATTTATTTGTAGTTTGAATTAATCATATTGTTAGTAACATTTATGAATTTCTGCACTCTATTCTATGTTTGTTAATATTATCTATAGTATGGATCATTTTTCTAGGTAAAGCTTTATTTATCAGTAGATATCTTTATTGACTATTCTATACTCTGTATAGCGAAAGAACGCGCCGGTTCTGCGCATGCAGACTGACGACCAAACGATTGATGAGGTCTAGGTTTTCCCTCGGGGTGTTCCAAAGATGGTCATCAGAGTGGACCAACGGTTGATGGGCGGATATGCAGGAAACCATAACGATTATGGTCTGGACGTGGCGAGTTCTCTCTGGACAGAGTATAGTTGCATAATATACAACTACTATACTCTGTTAAAAATAAGAACGATAGTCAGTGGCCAACTTATGCGCAGGAGAGTAGCTTGTTCCAAAGCACTGGTCTTTCGTGTCTACTTGATGAGGGGAAACCTCTGAAAATGCGTCTGATCGTCGAGGACTGTTCTTACTTCGAATAGAGTATACTCAAAATGTCTGAGTAATTCACCAGATTTAAGAAATCAAACTAACGGACGCTATATACCAGTGATGCCCAACCCGCGGCCCGCAAAGGTATTCCATGTGGCTTGTTACAATTAATTAAAACAAATAAAACAAAATATTCCAAAGAAAGTAAAATTATTACAAATTATGATTTTAATTAATTTATGAATTCTTTTAAATATTCCAAAAATATAATGATAATAAAAATAAAAATGTTATACACTTATTTTTAATGTGAAATTTGAGCTTGTGTTTCGTTTACAAATACCAAAAAATCTAGTTCTTGGTTCTGGTCTTGGGCATCGCTGCTATACACTATGCGTGCACTTGTGGTTATTAACCCTAAAAGATTATCATTTTAGGCTGTAAATAATTTTAAAGTTTTGAATAGCTCAGCCCAGTAGCACAATCAGAAAAGGTCCCGGATTACTCTTTATAAATTCATAAAATATTAACCAAAAATAATTTTTTTTTACGAAATATACATGCTCAACAAATAAAAACGATTAATATTTTTTAAATTTAATCTTTATTATTATATGCATAAAGTCCTAATACATAAACATATATTTTTTTTATAATTTTATAATTGTATTATTACAAATAGACAGTCAACGTATGTGAAAAATTAAACACTAAAGAAAATATTTAATGCAGCTTCAATTTATACAGCTATCATATATCTTTTAAATTTAAATCACTTATAGAAATGAATTACAAAACAGAAATTATATAACTTGAAATATTAATTTAAATAAGGCAGTATTAAGAAATATTTTTTACCGTATTATAAATATTTAACCATACAGATTTTGTTAAGAATGTTCTTGAATAACTCTACTCAGTTCTTCATCTCGTTTTTGTTTAGTGTGTGACATAAACTGGTCCAGCTGTTGGTCCAAATCTTCTTTAGAAATAACTTGTTCTTTACGAGGAAACTGGTCTCTATAAGACATACACAAAAAACAATTATGTAGATTTGAAAATGATACATAAATATTACAATTGATAACATTAATTGTTATGCATGCCATGTTATAAATTATTTTGTACTGTCAATAGAACATTTCATAATCATTTAATCGAGTAATATATTTTAATGTATAATGTTATATACAGGGTGTCCTGGATACAACTATGTTGTACATTGTGACAAGCCATGCGGAAAAATAAAGACAAACTATTTCAACATTCAAAAATTACTTTACAGGAAAAATTAAAAGAATCGTCAGATTTTAATTATTTATTTTTTAAAGGAACATCTAGATTTCTATCTATTTAATCACATTGGACTTTGATTTTTGAATGAACTTTAAATATCATCAAGATAAAACATTTCAAAATACTTAACCACCTTTGACTATTTAGATGTTTATTACATATTATGTTTATTGCGCTTAGACAAAAAAAAAACAAAAATATCCCTAGACTTGCAATACAACACCAACTCAAGTTGGCCACAGCCCACAGGTAACTCACCGTTAACCATATGACTATGGAGTACTATAAAGTCTGACTGGTATACTCCGGCCGGAATAAGGACGTACCCGGGCGGCGGACCAAAACAAGTTTGCTGCGCACAGATCATAGTTATAACTATAACTATATGTTTATAACTATGACAACGTTGCGGACGGGAAACCGGTCGCCGCCTGCGCGACGAGGTACGTTCTTATTCTGTCCGGAGTATAGTCAAGATAACAAAATTGAGACTCGTGGTAGTCGGAATAACGGAAAAGTACCAAGGAATTATCAATATCTCGCTACTTTATGAGGATCAAGTTATTTCTGCGATGAAAGTTTTTATACCAATTTTGAATTTACATACTTGTTATTCATTTATTAAAATGGTGAGATATTTAAATCTCTAAATATAAAAATGGAGCGTGAAAAATTGTCGTTACCTCATCAATTGAGAACGGCTGTCCGATTTGGCTCAAATTTTTCTTAAGATGTCCGTAATTGTCAGGAGAAGGTTTTTACGAAAGAACATTTTAAGAAAATCCACCGGGAAAGTAGGAAATCTGGATGTAAAAAATACAACAGTGGCGCAACAGTGTTTAATATATTGGTTGTTATTGGTTAATCAGGCATGTTTGTTGATTTGTATTATTATTTTTCGTCAATATATTAATATATTATACATAAATGAATGCTTGTGTGTAGATTAGACCTCTGGGAAGAATACAGGCTAATTTAAAAATGGTTAAATTTGGTTTTTTCTATTAATCTGATATTAGCACGGTTAATTAGGTTAGGATTTTGTATTAATTGATTATATTATTCCACCATAGGTGAAATACAACAAACTTCGTATAACTTAGATACTTTAGAGTTAAATTATTAAGTTATGGACAAACAGCACAGGGTCCGCGATCTACCTCAGGTAGATTGCTTATCTGATAATATACTGCTACGAATCAGAATTGTTATTCCGGAAACGGAAAAGTTAAGATAAATGTTGAACACCGTCGATACTATCGTCGATATAGGTAGTTATCCTTATCGCCGATAACGATTCTTTCGTCTTCGGTTGACATAGAGCGGAGCTTTTTGGTGTACAAAAATATGTTGGCATATAACAGTCGGTAGTTTATATTTGAGAATTTATCAAAATCGTTGATTGTAAATTGTAATGTTTAAAAATGTATATTAATTAATGAAATAATGTTTTTAATCACTAGTCAAAGAAATTGAAATGAAAATGTTTTTTTCCTCATATTTATAAATTAAAAAAAAATATTTAAGCATATTTAAGAGCATAAGTGCATACATATTTCGGTAGTTTTAGTGCATATACTTCCGGGCCCTAGTTATGACTGAATACAATTTTAGATCTTTATATATTTGATCAAAGCTATATAACTTTGTAAAAATGGTATTTCTAACTCTAATTTTTTGACCATTGTCCCGGGAACCTATACATGCATATCATAAACAATGTGTTACTGTTAGTAAAATATTTGTAAGTACGTAAATCACAAGTATGTCTCACGGGCAAAGCCGGTCGGGATGGCTATAATATAATATAATGGAACGTGTCTTGACTGATTGACTGATCAACATATAGCCTAAATAATGATAGAGGCTTGCAATTTTCATGGTGCCTTCGTACCCCCATGTAAGTATGCACTAAGAAAGCATCTTCCAAAATTCACATTTTATAAAGTGGTACTTGCACAAGTATTTTGAGATTCATGATGATCGAATAATTTTTTTAATTTCTAAACACCATACAACGAATATTAATTAACAAATTGAACAAAGTTTGAATCATATAGAGTGGTAGTGATACCTACATTTAATGGGCAACAAAGTGCATATCAACTAGTATTTTATAAAAAACAATTATTTATCGTTATATAACATTGTAAGATTATTTCATTCCAAATTTCAGTTGCAAACTTATTATACAAATACAATAAGGTCCCCAAGTATATTGATCGAAAAATTATTTAAAATGTTATGAATGTAAGTACGTTTGACATTAAGCCCAATAACATTCTTCATTATTGGAAATTCTCATAATTGTTAATACAATTTAACTAACTATACATGTAAATTTAAATAATTTATTAATTGATACCTCCTAATAGCAATTTTTAAATGAGGTTAAAATGATTAATTTAAAATTACAACTATAAGTATTTTAATACTTATTTAAAAAATGCAATATTCTCATAACTTACCTCTGTTTTGATATTTGTCGTTTTTTAGATTTAGAAACCTTTGTAGTGCCTATGCTACTTCCATTTGTGTTTAAATTGGACTTAACAGATTGTCGTATTTTAGTCTTAGCACCTCCTAAAATAAATGGTTTATCATGTAACACATATACAAATTAAAAATTGAATTAACTTTACTTCGTCTTCTTATTCTCCTTCTATCTTCCACTAATGGAACTCTTCCTACAGAAAGTCTTTCATGAACAGGAACACCTAATCTATCTGACGGTCTTATCATATTTTGCATAATATTATTGTACATTTGTTTGTTGATTTCCGGTCTTGGAGGAGGTAAGGGTGGCGGCATTGGTACTCGGAGCCGTTCTCTATTCATAAACTCCTTTTAACAATAAAAGTTTGCGGGTAAGTGTAATACTTGTAGGTACAACAATCTAATTAAAAACTAAAACATACTTGATTCAATAACAATGAAGCTGCTACTTCAGGTCTACGTTCCATATTAAACGAGAGCATACGGTGTTTCCTCACGAGTTCATCATCCGTCACCACCGTTTTGGATTTTTTTTGTATTTGTGTGAACCTACATCAACCAAACGTCAAGTCTTATAACTGCACAAAAACTTACACAGACAAAGAATATCTCATACCTGTCGTTCAGGCTCATTCCGGTGTTTTTGACCAGTAAATTGTTCTTCCTTGACGATGACATGGCTAGAACCAGTGAAACATATTACTTCAAACACAAATATCGTTCAACACGGCTTTTGCAGTGAAATATGAACGCGTCGACGTCGTTTTGTGGATATCAAAAATATTGTACCAAACATAAAAACAAAACGATGCGGTACAATAATAATATCATTGTGATGTAGAGAAGATAAGGTGACACCGCTTGTACCACAGAACATAACCTGGTCGTACATTTTCTCAGCGGTTTGGTAGTACAAATGTACTCGTACAGGTGGCGCAGGTACCTTTCGACATATTGTAAAAAAAAAAAACATATTATTTTGATTTCTGATTATTTAATTTATTGTTATTCCCAAACCCAAACACATATTCACACATTATTTTGTTCGAAAACACGCCCTACAGAAAAAACTCTCAAGCCACGTAGAGTGATTTCGATTACTTTTTTTTAGATTTTGAGTGGAAAGTATTGATTTTACAATGATTTTTTTTTTTGTGTCTGTGTACACCGTACACGATTAGTAGTCGAAATAATGCTTCGATTTTCAACTTCAGTATCTTGTTCGATGGGAAAGTGAATCTAGTTGGTACTTTTGGGAGGTCGAAATTTAAAATTCCCAATAGTTTTCAAAAGCGCCCTGAAAAACAAAATAAAAATTAAGGAAAAACGGGAATATTTACGCAAAAACGGTTTTTGACAAAATCGATTTTGGCTTTTGGTGTAATTTTAAAACAAATGAAAGTAGGCACATGAAATGTTCACTGGTTGTTTATATTTGCAAATTCTATACACGATAAAATGTTCAAAATATTTTCATTTATTTTGAACTATTTAGGGATATTTTCATTTTCTAATTTTATTAGTTTTTTTTTCTATGAATGTCCATAAAACTTTATTTGTTGAGTGAAAATACTTGAAAATTTAATACAAAGCTCCTACTATATTGTTACAGTGACATTTGAAAAATATTAAAAATCCTTGGTCACAGTTTTTAGATTCTGAGTGAAACGATGAATGTATTGATTTTACAATGATGTGTGTTTTTTTATTTTTTTATTTTTAATTTTTTTTATTTTTTAATTTTTTAATTTTTAATTTTTTTTGTATCTGTGTACACGATAAGTAGTCGAAATAATGCTTCGATTTTCGACTTCAGTATCTTGTTCGATTGGAAAGTGAATATCGTTGGTGCATTGGGGAGGTCAAAATTTAAATTTCCCAGTAGTTTTCACAAGCGCCGGGAAAAACAACATAAAAATTAAGGAAAAACGGGAATTTTTACGCAAAATTGATTTTCCAAAAAATCGATTTTGGTTATTGGTGTAACTCTAAAACAAATGAACGTATATACATGAAATTTTCACTGGTTGTTTATATTTGCATTTTCTATACACGATAACATTTTCAAAATATTTTGATTTATTTTGAACTGTTTAGGGACATTTTCATTTTTCGTTTTTTTTTAGTTTTTTTTCTAGAAATATCAATAAAATTTTATTTGTTGGTTGCGAAAGCTTGAAAATTTAATAGAAGGCTCCTAATATATTGTTTCAAAGGCAGATGAAAAATATTAAAAATCCTTAGTCACAATTTTTTTTATAAGCATTTAAAGTTCAAAAATTGACAAAATATGGAAAAATCACGAAAATTAGCAAATTATTTTGAGTTAAGAATTCGTAAAAATTTTTCTTTTTAAATCTAAGATTTGAAAATCTAATACAAGATTACTCATAAGATTGTCTACCTTTATCAATAAAAAAATCTCTACCGGAAAGTCAAATTAAATTTTTATGAGCGTTTGAAATTCAAATTTTTACAACATTGGATATTCACTCGATTTCTCATGTGGCAATTTCCTTTTTTTGTTGTAATTAAAAAACGAATTACTGTAAATACATGAAAATTTCACTGAATGTTTATATTAGCATTTCCTATACACCATAGAATTTTGAAAATATTTTGACTCTTTTTGAGCCGTTTACGGACATTTTCAGTTTTCAATTTTTTTAGTTTTTTTTTCTATAAATATCAATAAAGTTTTATCTGTTGGGCCAAAAAGTGTAAAAATTTAATACAAGGCTCCTGATATATTGTTACAATAACAGTTGAAAAATATTAAAAATACATAGGCACAATTTTTTTTTATAAGCATTTAAACATCAAATTTTGACAAAATTTATCAAAATCTCGAAAATTATCAATCGTTGGAATTAAAAAATTATAAAATGTTCAGTTTTTATAACTAAGAGTTGAAAATTTAAAACAAAGATTCTCTTAAATAATTCATACTGTAACCAAAAAATCTAAAAAATATATGAACACAGTTAATTTTTACAGACATTTTAAATCCAAATTTGGACGAAATTACATATTAAAATCAATATTAACGATCTTGGTTTTTCGTTGTAATTTAAAAATAGTATTCGGGGATATATGATACCTAATGGATATTGTGATATGATTAATTTGGAATTTATTATAGGTATCTATTATAGGTCAATTTTTTTTTAATACCATCGATAAGTATATGTCTTATACCTAGATTGACATACCGTCTCCACTCAGAATCGTTTTTCTTATACAATGATATTATATCATTGAATTCAAATTTAATACCATCCATTATACCATGGTCCATACTCCATGACCCACTTGTAACCTACAGTACAGCAGAGCGACATCCACTTACCCACCTTTTTTTATATGCATTTAAAGTTCAAATCTTGACAAAACATGGAAAAATCAAGAAAATTATCAAACTATTTTGAGTTTTGAGTTGTTTAAGGACAATTTTCTATTTCAATTTTTTTTTTCCATGAATATCAATAAAGTTTTATTTGTTGGGCCAAAAAGTGTAAAAATTTAATGCAAGGCAATGCATAATATACATTGTATATTGTTACAATAGCAGTTCAAAAATATTAAAAATACACAGGCACAATTTTTTTTTATAAGCATTTAATAAAAAGTGGCGTTTTAAAATAAATCAAACCAAATCAGTACATACTACATTTACACTTAGATTAGCACCATGTCCAGAGGTATCGCTTTTTGGTTCTCAGATCCCCCATCCCCAAACGTTAAATATCTCGGCCTAACTCTTGACCGCCGTCTAACCTGGGCTCACCACATCAAAGCCAAAACTTCACAATTAAATTCCCGCTTACAAATAATCAAAACCCTAATAGTCAACAACAAACACTCTAAATTAAATATTTAACTACTTCTTTACAAATCTCTTTTAAAGCCAATTTGGACGTACGGCTTACAGCTATGGGGTAACGCAAAAATATCAAATCTAAATAAAATTCAACGATTCCAAAATAAAATACTAAGAAAAATTACCAACTCTCCACTATATGTCTCAAATCACTCCCTGCATAAAGACCTACATATGAAAACAGTTCAGGAAGAAGCTAAAAATTATTACAAACGATTCCACCTAAGCCTTAACTCTCATCCAAACGAACTTGTAAAAAATCTGGCTTCATTAACCATTCCTGGTAATCCTCCTCGTCGCCTTAAGCGTAAATGGTGTAGAGACCTACTTAATCCCTAACAAAAAAAAAAAAAATAATAATAATAATAATTAAGTTAAAACAAATAATTTAAAAAACATAAGTGTCATCAGTGGGTGGCTTCTTAGCTCATAATTTCATGTTTTTTATTGTGTCTCAGCTCATACTCTTATTGTGCCGATTGTGTACAGATTGTGTATTACTAATAAAGAAAAAAAAAAAAAAAAAAGCATTTAAAGATCGAATTTTGACAAAATTTATCAAATTTAAAATTGAATAATTATTTTGTAGTTAAAAATGTATAAAATGTTCTACTTTTATATCTAAGGATTGAACATTTAAAACAAGATTCCACGTATGTAGTTAATTCTGTAACCAAAAAATCTAAAAAATACATAAACAAATTTTATTTTTATAGTAATTTTAAGTTCAAATTTGGACGAAATTACCTACATATTAAAAAACCTAGAATAACTATTTTAGTTATTTTGTTGTGATTGTATAATATTATTTGTGGGACGTGGGTACTTGAAACTTCTAAAGTACCTATACTACTATATATCTGTGATAGTATCACGGTTTGGTTGATTAGGTATAAGTACCTAATGGATATTGTGATATGATTAATTTGGAATTTATTATAGGTAAGTACTTATTATAGGTCGATTTTTTTTAATACCATAGATAAGTATATAATATGTCTAGACGTCCAGTGTTTGTCAAGTTCCTTATAAAAAGGAATTCGTTCCGTTCCTTATTGTTCCTTTTTTAAAAAAAGGAATTCGTTCCGTTCCTTGTTCCTTTAAAAAAAAAAGAATTCGTTCCTTTGGAAAAAGAACTAGTTCCTTTTTTAGTTCCAGATAAAATAAAAATTTTTATTTAATCATAAATTTTTTTTCTTAACAGATATACTTAGGTACTTTAATTTTTAATTATACTTATACATACCTACAAGTAAATTTATAATTTACCATTAAGTTTAAGAAAATAATAGTTTTTAGTAATCTATTTTGAGATTTTCTTTAAAATTAAATTGCTGGCCAACGTATGTCAACTGTATTATCATATTTTATTGTTGTTATAAATAATTATCATTAAAATAATATTGTAACGTCTTATTAATATAGTAATTATTATTATACATTTTAGCTGTAGGTACTAGGTATTACAATAGTCCCGACCCTAATAATAATTAATAAATGATTTTATTGTTCAGTGTTCAGTGGTCATGCTATTTTATTTTCCGTTGACGCAACGACAAGGATTTTTTTTTATATAGTAATAATGTCATAATATAATAGTATATAGTATATACCCATTTCTATATATTAAGTTATAACTTATGAATTATGACTTATGAGAAATATTAATAAAGTTACTAATGACTAATAGGTAATGACTAATGAGTACCCTGTACCAGAGTACCTACCTAATGATTAATGACTAACTTTAACGATTAAGTTTGATACTCGATAGTCGATAACGATCATAATATTGGAA